GTCAGCAAACCTACCGAGAAACCTTGCTTCTGTACTGCCATTCTCCAGTCAATCCAGGAACAGAAGATCACCAATAGCCCTTCCTCTAAAGCAGTGTTTCTCAACCTGAGCAACTTTAAGATGTGTGGACTTCAACCCCAAAAATCCCCCAGCCAGTGTGCTGGCTGGGGAATTCTGGGCATTGAAGTCCACACATCTTAAAGTTGCTCAGGTTGAGAAACACTGCTTTAGAGGAAGGGCTATTGGTGATCTTCTGTTCCTGGATTGACTGGAGAATGGCAGTACAGAAGCAAGGTTTCTCGGTAGGTTTGCTGACTCTGTGTTCTTTTCACTCTTAAGTGAGACTTTGGAAGGCAGATTGAAGGAATGTTGGCTGTTGTTGTCCCTGAAGATTATAATTTTATACTTTAGCTATTAGGTGACTGGCTGGCTCTATAATTTTATGCTGATTTTATAGTTAGAGTTTATTGATGTGTTTTTGTAAGCCACCCAGAGTCTGATGAAGTGGATGGCATACAAATGAGTTAAAATGAGTAAGTAAGTTGCATACTGAATAAGGTAAGAATCGCATTTGTAACCACAACCACTTTTGGTTCTGGCTCTCCTGTTGATTGACTTTGCCTCACTGTTTGCTACACTGTTAACCAGAGAGGTAATGCAAACATTGACACATGTTCCTTCAACATATGGATGCTGTGATCTTAGTAGATAATGCATCCATTTTGTTGATTTTTTGAGTGGTTTAGTATGCTATAAATATGTACAGTATAACTCAATCTATACACATTAGTTCAAGCAGTCTTTTTTGTATTAATGGAATTTATATTCAAATGGTGTAGAAACCTGAATAGTACCACTTCAGCCTGAAGGTGAGGGCTTTATGTTTGAAAAAACTCTTGAAGAAAAAATAGAAAGTAAGTTCTGTTAAAAAAAAGTCAGCAAAACAATAGGCTAGGGTAGCACAGATTGTTACCAAATGATCGTCCTAGGACCTAGGAATTAGTTTTACTATCTGCACATATTGTTTAATTTTATACTCATTAAAATGTGCATTGAATTGTTTTCTTCCGCCAAAATAGCCTATAATTAATACTAGCATTTGGATGCTACAGTAATTAGCGTCTTGGGTTATAAAATGCATCTACGTACCACACTTATACTTGCAAATTATATTTTGCTAAGAGCAACAAGTATCTGTATAATATAGTTTATTATACAGATAAGTATAATAAGTTAGGTAAGTAAACTAAGCAACAGTAGGTTTATATAAAAGTTAATTCATATAGGTATAGAACTATTGTATGCAGACAATGCATGTAACATAATTATAAACTTAACTAAAATATTATTTATGACTGCAACATAATCCTCTTGAATCAGTGTCAGTACATGGGATGTGCCTCCTAATTAGTGGGATGGAGGAAATATTATGTTGTCTTGCAAGATAGCCTCCATATTAGATTCTGGCCTGCATAGAACAGCATGGTTATGCTTGGGGTATAATTGGATTTTGATTGTGCTTGTGGCCTGCAGACCAAAATGTGCCAAAACAGATGACTGCTGTCCTTATTATCAGGGAATGCTGTATATGTCATGGGTATAACTAGGGGTGGTAACCAAACCTACACCTTCTCAATCTTAGTAAGAAGTGTTATGTGAAATCCTCAACTGACTAAGGCTGTGATAGGCAGCAGAGATCCATATCTATGTTGTCCTGCTAGTAACAACTACAGCATATAAAAGATTATGACTTGGAATGTAAGACGAGTAAATGTTAAATAATATGAATGAATGAGTGAAGTGAAAGTAAGAGAAAGGGAAGGAATACAATAGATCTGAAAGAAGGTGCTCTGATTTTGTAGAGTATAATGGATAAATACATGTAGGGAAGAGAAGGTGTAGGGTTAATTATGAATGAAACGGCTAAAATATGGCAGAAGATATGAATTGGCATTATTTAGATTATTTTGGTATGTATGAAATAAGGAACTCATAAATTAATGAGAGTTACTATGCTCCAGTAAACAGTGGTAATGAATTTTGGGGAAAACTGCAGCACTCTGAATATATGCAATCCAAGGAAAAAATACTTCCTTGGATTGCATATACTGAAATGAATATAATGGGTGGGATTGAGATGAGAAGGTAACACAAAAATGATTGGCCATTTGTAGATCCAAGAACAAATGAGAATAGAAACTAGTTTTTGAATAAATATTTTTTAAATACCTTAGAAAAAGATATTTGATGGAATAAGTGGTTAAGAATAAGTCTATTCATGCATACACATAGAAGAGAAATCAACTGAAACCATAATTGAACTATGGTTGATTAATTTAACTGTTAATGATGAAAGACTGGGAGTATTAATGAACGATACAAGAGAAATATATTTCATTAAGGATGATAAGTTCTAAATAGGGACAGACCATTAGGGGTAGTGATGTGGAATAAAAAGAAATAAGGAAAAGATGTAAAAGTGAAAGACTGCAAGGAAAGAAATGACAGTAGAATAATTTCCCAACAGAATGAATGAAAAGTGGATGTAAAGAAAAAGGATATTGACACTGCTTGGAATAAAATGAAAAGAATTAGATTACAGAGAATTGTCTAGACTTGTGCTAATAGGAAGTAAGAAAAAATATGTTTAATGGAATGATGAAAGAGATGACAGGGGTGTATGTGTGTGCGTGTGCACATGTATGAATGTATGTATGCGTGTGTTATATGTGTAGAAAAAATGAGAATGATTAGCAAAAGATTCCAAAACTGATCAGGGAGTAAGACAAGGATTTGCGGTGTCTCTTTGACTGTTTAATGCATGTATCCATAAATATAAAAGCAATGCTTATGGGAAATTTAGTTGGATGGGGATATGAGTATATGTATACTTTTGTATATGGACAATCTCTTTGTATGGGAACTTGAATTATTTGCAGAGAATGTTACATAAGTTGTATGATGCCATGAAGAGTATCATACTTAAAATTAATATATCAAACAATTATGTTTGACAGGAAAAATGAATGGAGAGAAAAATTTACTGAAGATGGGAAAATAGAGAAATGTTATGATGAACAAATGCTGGTAGAAAGATAGAGGATAGGATTGGACTGTTATAAGGAACAAGTATGTTGATGTGATTTGGTGATAAACAGAGAATGATTAGGAACAAATCACCAAAAAAAAAAAAACATGAAGGAAGACTGAATGGGATAAGAAGATGGGAAGTCTGAGAAAAGTGTGTGAGTTGGGCTGATGAGATCCTCAAAAAGGGGGAGGTGAGAAAAAAGCATTAAATAAGCAGCCACAAGAAATTTTTTCTTTTTCTTATATTTCCATGAAACAACACGCCGGTATTTAGATCTGGCATACGAACTAGCAGTTATACAAATGTAAAAAGTCCATTGGAGACAGAGTACATTTTTATTCTAACAGTAAATTAAATTCAGTCCTCTATTATAGATGTCAGGACATTATAATGTTAAGATGACTTTTTAAATATTTGTTTTAGATTTATGTACTTATTTATTGTTTCTTTTGCAGATCCATGATGGAATATTTTTGTTCAATATTGCTAATTTCCATTAGTTTTCTACATTCTGAAGCATTACATGACAATGGAACTGCATCACGTAATGACACAACAACAGGTAGGAAAAACTTCAGTTGTGGAGGTTGATCTGGTGTTCATCTATATGTTTGTCTTCCCAATCTTATTGGGCTTTTAACTCCCATGATTTCTAGCAAGCATAAACATTCACATGTAGTAGCATTTTTAATACTAATACATCACATTAAATATTAATACATTAAGAAACATGATTTAGGTCGTGTGTGTGTGAATATAAGAAATGCAATTAGAAAATGACCAAAAGTGCTTTAAGCACAAAGTTCCAATTAATTATTCTTAATGAATAATTAGTCTCAATTACAAGCATACTAAATTAGAGGGTCTAAAGAGCTGGAAAGAGTATTATGATAATGTTTCAGGTCTTTCAGAGCCACCCAGTTCTCTTCGCACTCAAATGAACTTAAGATATCTTCTTTCAGATTACAGGTAGTCCCTAGTTTAAGAATGAGTTCCCTTCCCAAGGTCTGTCCTTAAGTCAAATTTGTATGTAAGCCGGAACAGTAGTAGTGTATAAAACTGTATAAGTAGCATTGTGTAATTAACTTGAACCATTGGGTATTTAACTGGAATCATTGTGTATTTAACTTGAATTTTGCTACAATAGGCTCCATTCTTAACTATGGGTTGTCTGTAAACTTTTAAGCGTTTTTAACCCGGGGACTACCTGTACACTCCATTCCATTGTGAAGAGGAGAGAATTGGTGTTAATTACTCTAGATAGTAGTCTTCAATAACAGGCATAACAGCCATATTCCTTGTTGAAAAATAAACAGTGCTAGTATCAAACAAACTAAGGTCTTAAATTTCTAAGAATAATCTTTCGGACATTTGCAGTTTTGGAGGGAATAATCAAAAGCTTCCAGCCCATTAACCTGCCAGCACAATCCAGTATTTTGCAGGCAGTAGAGGTGGTAAGTAACTACTCACCCACTACTCTTAATATCTACAGAGCTAAAATGATTAGCTTTCTACTGTACAGTTCCCAGATTTGCTTCTATAAAGATCTCACACCCACTGAAGCAGTCCAATAGGAAAATTAAGATCTATTTTTTGAGCATCCCAGAACATTCCCAACTTTTTTTTCTCTTTGGAATTGGGCCTCACTTCTACAGAGCTTTGTGTGAAGCTTTGCTGTCAGCTAAATTTATTTTATCAGAAGGCTCTTTGGCTGTTCCAACTCTCCTGGATAGTTTTTATTTAGCTTGAAAAAAGGCATTGAACTCAACCTTAGAAAACATGGCCTCAGTTCAATATCTGAATTTACCAGGGTTAGAGCAGCCAACCTAGAATTGAAACACAATGCTTCTGATATTGACCTTCACAGTGACTGGAATATAATACGGCCTCCCTCCATTACATGTGTGGTCTATAAGGAAGACCTCTTTACCTCTTATCCCAGCAGATGAGGCAAACATTCTGAGTGTGTCACAGCAAAGGGCTTTCTCTTTGGCAAGACTTATCTCCCTGCTTTTCATGCTATCCAAGATTGACTACAGTACTCCCTTGCCAACTGGGTGATATGGAATTTGTTTCTCATGTTTTATTGTGTTGCCCTTTTGATACAGCTTGACATTTAGATTTAATAACTCCCCTGTTGTCAAATTGTTCTGGCTAATCTGCAGAGAAAACTCCCCTTCCTTTACCTGATGTGCTTTCTGAGGCACTCAGGAGAGTAGGCCAGTTTTGTGGAGTTGGTATTATCATTAGGAGGCTAATGGTTTAGATATTAAACTACTGTATATTACCTTCTGAGTAAAATGGGTTTGCTTTGAATCTTGTCTGGTTTGGCCATATTTTATTCTTTATTGTTATCATTGTATTATTTTATTGTTCTGTGTGGTTCATCTGTGAACTGGAGATAAAGTCGCTGGGAGTCCAATGGTGTAAAAATGTAAAGCATAATAACATTATCTTCCAGGTTATTTTCTTTATACCACTGACAAATCAGTAGATAATTTGTCATTTTATCTATTTTTTTTATTCTTATTGGTCTTGTTTTTATTTATATTTCACTTTTTTTTCTTCTCTTTTTAATTATTATTATTAGCCAATAAATTAGTAGTTCCCTGGTTAGATGTTGAACATCCTTGAGATGTATAGTGTGTGCTGCTTTATTAACACTTGGTTTAGTTTAAGTTGCATGGAAGACAATAGGATAATATTTCCACTAACTGCATAGAACTGCTGGATAATTGGAGCATTTTTGCAAGCCATCTGCAGGGGCCTAATTAGCAGTGTTTTAAATGGAAAGAACTCTAATCAATGACTGTTTCTAAAAACTTCAGTTAAATGTAGTTAGATACAAGGTTCAGAGTCTTTATTTTTGACAAAAAGCTTCAAATCGTCAATATTTGGTAATATTGTATGCTAAAAAAGCAACAATGGAGCCATTTTTATTCATCCCCACCCCCACTGATAATTTTAAAGCTTTTAATTTAGTAGTGTTTAATTTAAAAATAAAACAGCTGGCATCTTCTTTCTAAATTCCTGTGTATCAGAGTAATGTTATAAATGTATAGGGCTTGTTTCTGTAGTTTGATTTTTTAATTAATTTTAATTAATGAATGGGGGCATTTATTTTTTAACTGTTTGGGCTTTTACTTTTATTGTGAGCCTCACGGAGTCACCCACTGGGGGAGATGGGCAGGATACAAATTTAATAAATAAATGTGCAGTGGTACCTCGGTTCATGAACTTAATTCGTTCCGCGACTTTGGTCGCGTCCCGAATCAAATTTCTCCATAAGGTTCAATGTAATTACGGTTAATCTGTTCTGAACCATATGTATTTTTTTTTGAAAACCGCAAAAATATGAAACAAAATACAGTATGAAGAGAGAGAACACTAACCTTGCTCGAGGCGACTTCTGGCGTGGAGGACAGGAGGGCGGGTGGGGAGGCAGTTATTGCTTGGAGGGAGAGTCCCCCTCCCTCAGGAAGCCACGACCACGTGTCACGGCAGGGAAAATGGCCGCGGATCCTGTTCGTCACCCGATCCGCCATTCACGAACGGAAGCAAAATTTTGCGAACAGAGCTGTTCGTGACCCAAATTAGTCGTGAACAGAAGCGTTCGTGACCTGAGGTACCACTGTATTTTTATTTCTCTGGTCAGGAATTTCTGATTACATATTAGGATTACATATTAGTCTCTAGCAGTGGACCCATCCTGCCATACTTCTATGGACACCTGAAAATACACAAACCTGACATACCTCTCCAAACAACTGTGTCATTACCAGGGACCCCAACATATAACATAGCCAATGAACTTACAAAAAAGCTTGGACATCTCACAGAGGAGAGCAAATATTCTATCCACTCCCTACTACAGTGCCTCAGGATAACCAAAAACCTAAAAATAGAAGATGAAATTATGGTTTCATTCAGTGACACAGCACTCTTTATGTCCATAGATCCAGAACTAGCAAAAGAATATATGGCAGCAATGCTACACAACACACCCAACCTAGCAAAATACAGTAAGACAGAAATACTGAGAATCATGGACCTCATCAACCTACCTTCAGTTTGATAGACAAATATACCAGTAAATCAGAGGAATACACATGGGATTACCACTCTTAGGACTTGTAGCACAGACCATAATGCAATGACTAGAAACTATAGCACTCCCACACATACAGCCAAAAGTATGGATCCGGAATGTAGATGACACCTTCATCATAATAAAAAATGGACTAGAGAAGACACGTGAAACAATCAACATCTCAAAGGAATAAAATTCACAAGGAAACAACAACATGCTACCCTTTCTGGGTATCCTCATCAGCAGAGGAAACAAGAGCAAACTAGAAACCCAAATTTATCGGAAGACAACCCACACTAATCAAGTACTCCATTACCAAAGTAACAATCCAGCCTCTCACAACAGGAGCTGTGTAAGAACATTATTCAGAAGAGTATAAACACACTCCATGAACCCAGAACACCAGAAAAAGGAAACAGATACCTATACAATATCT